TGAGAATTTGTCCCTTTGTTAAGCCTATGAAAAATAGGCGCCGCGCACACAAATGTAATTAAGGTTTTCAGGGGTAGTCAGCTGTTTGTTTTGAGGATTTATGCTGCTCTGCACAAGTTTTTTTCCCCCCATAATTGCAAGGAAGCAATTCGCTATATGCAGATCATGAGTTTTAACGTGTTGGGGATGAATAATTTAGCAGGCAACAGCTCTATCATAGCTATTCCCGCATCACCTCCCTGTTAATTAATAATGTGCCTGAAGACACACTCTTTAAGAAATCACCCGGTCAGAGGACCGGGGCCCCTGTATAAAGACACATGACACGGCCAGAGGGGAGGCCCATGAGGAATGCAGCTCGTGGAGAGTCACCACAAAGTTAAAAAAAACGGGTTTTGCTTAGTTTCAGTGTGTTGTGCTGGTAAAATGTGACCTAATGCCTCTCTTTCCACAAGCAAATGCAATTTTCTGAGGTCTATAAGCGGAAATTCTGGTAGAAATAATACAAAAACAGTACAGAAGGGCCTTTTTTACTCATCATCTTGTGGCTTTTCTTAAAAAAATAGAACGAGAGCTCAGATTAAACGTTAAATTAGTGCAAATACTGAAGGTGGCAAGAGTTTTTACTCCCAAATACTGACATTCAACTCACTGGTAAATTGAGCTTAAACAGCTAGACGGATAGTAATTAATCATATCTGTTGGTTTTCCTTTTTTTATATGTTTTTTTCTGTTTTTCTCCAGACTTCCTGGGACTTCTCAGTGGCGGTTATTTGGCTCCTCGTGTGGTTATTATCCACCAAACTTTCTAATGGTCTTGAGCCTTAGGAGGGTTGTTTTGGTTTGTCACTTGAATTTTTCTCCATTTCCTTGTTCTTTTTTGTTTTTTCTTTGCCAAGTTTACCTGGACGAACTGGAGCCATCATCCCAAATCTGCCAAAAAACCCCACCTCAGTGTGAACTTTGACCTTTTTTGGATAAAAAAAATCCTACTAGAAATTCCTGAATCCTTAAACCAGCCCAATGGCGTCTGTGGGAAGAAGAAAAAAACATAACTGGGTCGGTGAACTTCATAGTTTCATTCGTGTACTTTGTCCTAAATTCTACTAAGTTAAACTCAATGTTTTAATACGCCTTCACTGTACTTCTCCCCTGTTTTTCTTGACTTGGGGCCAGGTCGTGGGAGGTGGGAGCAGCCACAGATGTTTTTCGGGGGGTGTCAGGCCCGGTTTGAAGCTCCTCCCCTGAACTAACACTCCGTTTTACCAATGGTCCCGCTAGTTTCTTGAAACGCCCCCATGTGTTGCTCAATAACTCTCCTACCTCTCTTGGCAAAACGCCAAAAAACGGAGCAGAAAACCCTCTCAAAAAGGTGGACATTTACAAAAAAACCCTATTCTTAAACGACGTAAAACACCGTATTTTTTCACTCCAACGGCTAACTGACACTCCAACGTCTCCGTCTCGCGCAGTGGCCGTTGAGGGTTTTTATAGTCGACACTGTAAGGCCACGCCTCCTCCGGGATTCCGACCAATCACAGGGCGCGGAGTGATTATCTCGTCACGGTTGTCAGGCCCCCCCCCCTTTGGCTTCCTGTCTGAGTGAGCCGTTGGTCTCCGTCTGTCTGCGGAGAGTCGTCGTTATGGGCACAAGCTCGACTCCCCAACTTTCCACCGGAGACATTTCCCCCTTTCCTTCTTCTACTTTGGACGAAACCTACCACTCGGAGATGGATCTCTGACGGGAATAGACCCAAGTTTGAGCCCTTCCCCAGCGAAACCCCGCTCTTTAAGACATTTTTTTTTTTTTTTTAGTTTAAGTTGGGAGAAGAAGAAGAGAGGGGGAAAAAATGCCCGTTGCAACTCTTCTCCCTTTCACCGCCACCCCGAATAGGAAGTCCGCCAGCCCGACTTCTTTCAGGTTGACGGAGAAATTCATCCTGCTGCTGGTGTTCAGCGCCTTTATCACGCTGTGCTTCGGGGCTATCTTCTTCCTGCCGGACTCGTCGAAGCTGCTTAGCGGAGTTTTCTTCCATTCCTCCGCGGTGGAAACCAACACTCGCACCGGCCCGGACAGTAGCAGCGAGTCCGGGTCGCCTGGAAACGACGACCGGGTCCTGGCCAAGATCCGGAAGGACCACGAGGAAGCGCTGCTGGAAGCCAAGGATACTCTCAAAAAGCAGCCGGACGAGATAAAGCAAGACATTTTGAACGACAAGGGCAAAGTTGCCAACGAAATCGAGAAGGATGTCAATCATTTACCTTTCATTGAGTACCACCGTCCGCCCGGGGCCACCGGACACGAACCCGTGGACCCTGAAACCAGGGAGAGACGGGCTAAAATCAAGGAGGTGAGGTTGTTTGTGTGTTGGACAGTTAATACAAATGTCGTAACATGACTCAGTGTGTGTTCACGGGAAACGGTGACATTTCCTCTTCAAACACGACCAAGTAAATCTCTCTGGGGAGACCAGCCCACGCTGTTTAAACTTGTAGCACGTCGTGTTGTGTTGTT